ACATCTGACCGATGGCTCTTGAAATGTCGGGTCAGTGCAGCTGCTGCGTGACTGGAGGGATATGCAGATGAGACACTGAGGGGGAAAAAAGAGGGAAAGTCACCTTTTAGGAAAAATATTTCTTTTCCAGAATTAACTGACTATTTTTATTTTAGTTGATTTAAAGGTTACCTTGAAATCACTATTAACAGTCTGTCTGCTGGCAGTGAAAATATTAGAGTATAAAATTAAAGTGACTGGCCCAAGCGTCTTATCTCAGTATATCTTGTGTTGACTGTTCATCCTTGTTGAATCTCAGAAGATTCGGCGCCTTTTAATGCTTTTACTCCTCTCTCAGCCTCCATGACAGGAAGATGTGCATTCTGGGACTATGTGCTCTCATGGACCTCGAGCACAGGCCTCAGGCCATCAACCAGGTGGCCAGCCAGCTTCTTCCAGCAGCCATCTTGCTTTTCAGTGGCCTCAAGAGGGCGTACGCTTGTCGAGCAGAGCATGAGAACGAGGAAGACGATGACGAGGAGGATGGGGAAGAAGAGGATGATAATGGTAAGATGAAGATTTTTATTTTTAAAAATGTGTCTAAGCGTTCAGCGTTAATCAGGGAGGTAAAGTCCAAATGTGTCATCTTACGTCTGTAATATAGCGGAGCTGGGCAGCGACGAGGATGACATTGACGAGGAGGGCCAAGAATACTTGGAGATGCTAGCAAAGCATGCAGGCGAGGACGGAGACGACGAGGACTGGGAGGAGGACGACGCAGAGGAGACGGCACTCGAGGGCTACACTACAGCTGTAGATGACGAAGATAACTTGGTGGACGAATATCAGATCTTCAAAGTCATTCTACAGAGTAAGACCACAAGCTGCCGATGGCCTAAAAACAAACCACTATATGCATGTGTATTTTTCACTAATTGATGTCACCTCAATGTGGTGCAGATCTCCAGACCCGTGACCCAGCATGGTACCAGGCGCTAACACAATCCCTCGACGAGGAACAGGGCAAACAGCTTCAGGACATCGCCACACTTGCAGATCAGAGACGGGCAGCACATGGTGAGGCCCGGCTAAGACTACCCATGTTTGCCAATTTAAATCTTGCGGTGCTCTAAAGTCTGAAAATAAAGTGCTTTTGTATGTGCTGCTTTTTCTTTTTCATTGTTGTTGATGCAGTTGTACCTGTAATAAAAACTACTTTAGCATTCACTGCCTCCATCTAATTGCATTTCAGACTGACATACTGAAATAAGCCATTATTGGCTCAGAAATGCATGGCATTAAAAAAAATCTGACGCTTGCCACACGAAAGAAAACATGTCTAAAATCCCTCTTCAGTAATAAATGGCATCTTCCTCGCCATTGCAGCTTCTGATAATGGACCACAGTGATGGCCAAGCAGTTTGTTCCAGACTTTCTTTGGTTAGACCATCTTTTCCTTCTTCATGGGGGCCTAATAGGAATGCATAAACAAATAAATATTAAAGGCTGCCCAGTGGGAATAAATAAAGGTACCTGTCATGGTAAAAAGATAAAGATTTTACTTGGTTGTTTTGGGTGAGCTGCATAGCTGGACAGCAGTAAATCTTGAGCAAACAACGTGTTTTCTGCTGTTTTATTAAAAAAATATATTGCCCATCTTATTACAGAATCCAAGATGATCGAGAAACACGGCGGATACAAGTTCACAGCGCCAGTGGTGCCATCTACTTTCAACTTTGGAGGCACTGCTCCAGGAATGAATTGAGTCATCTGTTCTACTTTTTATTACTCCGTGACTGATTGTAGTGAAGTGAAAAAAGAAAAAAAAAAAGCTTGTGTTGTTCCCTTAAGTAGTGGTTCCAGAACTGGTTCTTCTCAGTCATTCTTCAATCTGTCAAATGGGGGAAATTGCACCAAAATGCAACCAGTGGCTGGGGGGGAAAAACGAACCAAGAACTTGAGCACGATGCAGGAGATGATGATGATGATGATGAAGAAGCTCTGAACAGCGCTGTCTTCTGGAGCCCAGCGTGGAGGGGGATACCATGACAGCAACTCTTTTTGGCTTTGTTTTTTTGTTGTTTTTTTCTCACTTACACAAAATTTGGGGGATTAACCGTTAGAATTGATAATGGGACTAAATATTTCATTATCACTGTCATGGCCATTTGGCCTAATAAGATTATACCTCTGGTAGTGGTGAAATCAACGTTATCTTCAGCATAAACAAAACTCATGTTTATGTACATACAAGCCAAGGTTATTGTTTATTTTTCAAGTAGCCTTGAAAAAAAAGCAACCAGAGGCATTTGTAAGGTATCAACAGCTGTATTCATATGTAGCATATTGGATAATTCATAGCACTATGTGATGCCTGATCTCTGTAAATTAATAATACTAGCACTTTCATATTGTTCAGGTCTCCTAGCCCTCTGTATCAGACTGCAAATTTTTTTTAAATTGAAAACTATTTAAAATGAAAACAGCTGTAACTTTGTTACTTTGCAAGCGATTTCTGTAATGGCAGGTTGTAATAATCTGGTTACAGAGGGGATCAGTGGGCGACTTCAGGAAAAGAGAATGCTCTTGGTGTTCACTATTGGCTGCAGGACAAGTGTGAGCACTGACAGTGCAGTTGGATACATCTTTGAAGCATGTACAATTGGACTTATCGTGAAGGTCTCAAGCTTTTGGTTGGTGTATGGATGAACCATCTATATATACAACAACATATTAAAAAAAACAAAAAAGATAAGGGAATTCATGGTGACGAGTGTCTCCTTATCAAGGCTCGTGTCTTTACCTGCTTTAGAAATGTGTTTCATGACGAATGAGTAAATAACGTTAAACTTTTTTCCTTGGATGACTACCCCTCAAAAAGCAGCGCTCTCAGGTGATCACAGATCAGAGTTCTTTCTTTTCTTTTTTTAAATTAAGTATGTGCACGATGCTCTGGTAACCACTCAAACAAGGTTATCCTAGGTAACTCAAATGTGAAAAAAACCATTTTACTTACCTAAAGCAAAAATAAAAACTATACTTTGGGGGGGGGAATGAACTGAAATGGTTTTGTGACCTTGCAAAAATATAATAAAAATGTAAAAGCCAATATTCTTAGCTTTAGTAATTGTTAACTTGGTAAAGATGTTACTTGACCTGATGAGGCGTTGGCAGAGGTCTTTATTGAGATTCTGGATGTCTACAGGATTGTGAATTAGCTTCCTTTAAGAAGTTTTGTGTTTTTATTGTAACACCTGATTTTCCTAAATCTTACCTTCAGTAAAATGAAGCAAATCAGAAAGTGGGTTATTTGATAAGGTTTGTCAGATACAGTCCAACAGCACCAACTTGGACCAGAGGTGGTGTATTAAGTACAATTACTTGAGTAAATGTTTATTCATTTCTGCTTTTGTCCACTAAATCCTGGAGGGCAGCATTGTACTCCAGTAACTGTTTCGAGCACTTAGGTTGTTAGCTTAAGCTAAAAAGTCAAAGTCAACTTTATTGTCAGTTTTGTATTGTCAGTTTTGTAATACTGGAGGGCGTGCAACTAGAATAACTCAAAAATGAGATCCAGATAAATATGAGGTGTAAATATTAACTATGGACTAAAGCCAAAAAATCGAAGTGGTGTAGCTACATATTAACAAACTAATTGTAAAAGTAAATCTACTTTATGTTTACTTTTACAAAGTAACAAATTTTGTTATGTTATTTGATTTTCATTTGTGTGGTTATGCTTCTTTGTATCTAAATGCTTCTTTCAACACTTTCCAAAACAAGTATTCATTACAAAATTATTTTAGATTCCCTCTCTTAGAGGAGGAAAATCATGCCTGTTGTTGTTTTGCTTTTCTTTTGCTTTGTTTTCCCAAAACAAGTTTTTAATTCTGTATTTATTTCTGATAACATGATCTTAATTATTGAGGCCTCTAACCCTTGAGTAGTTCAGGTCACCCCATGTGAAAAACAAAATACTGGAGTAACCTCTGAAGACGTCCTTGAGCGTTGCCCTCGAAGTTGCCTGGATTTGAAGTATTCTTTTGGGTTCAAGTTACTTTATCTGTAACCTTAGCTAGATTTGGGTTAGTGTAGCAGGTTACACTTACCTAATGAGTGAAAGATCACCTGTTTAATCCCAGGAGGAGACAGAAATCTGTTTGAGGTTGTATCAGGAAGAGCATCTGGTGTAAAACCTAAGAAATCAAACACATGGGAATAAGTAGATTTGGTCTGCAGGGGGAGTCATCCTCACCAGCATATTTTCAACACAAATTAGAATAACACAACATAATGAAGAGATAAAAAAAAATTCACGTAGTATCAGTATGAACGTCCAATAACTTAACCTGCTTTTGTATACCATCAAAAGTATATGTGGAATCAAATTGCAGCACCGAGTCCAGGTAGGCAGTTATAACATGTAGAACTAGGAAGTGGAGGTGTTATGCTCTCCTCCTTTAGGCTCTCAAACTTTTCCCAGCATGCTCCCAATCCAGCGGCTGGGACACTCTACAAATCATTAACAATTAGAAAAAAGGGGCCAAATCGGTTCATTTTAATTTTAGTTAAAAACAAGCCAGCTCTCTTCTGTCTGGCTGCACATGTTAAACAGAAGGCTTGGACAGTAGGCAGGAGGAGCAAGGTTACTCAGAGCTGTGTCCCTGACGTCACCATATCAGGGATAACGGCTCTTCTTGACATCACAGAGAGCCGAGACTGGGAAAAGAATGTCTAAAAGTGTTTAAAGTAGCCTGAAGTGTGCGTTTTTTGTCTCACATGGATTTTTGAAGTCATGAACGACCACATTTAATCCAAACACCCACCAACGTAGAGCATAGCAGGCTCACTTTAAAGTTACTTATTCATGATTAAATAAACTGTTGACGTGTTACTTGGTTTTAATTAGTCGGGTCAACTGAACAAACTTCCATTAGCAGCGGGACGCATAAAAAAAACTAAACAACATGTGGCGCTATCACACTTCTCCCTTTTTTGCGCCTCTAGCGCAGCACTTCTCTCTGAGAGGCGGATAGTTTCAAACCCGCAAACATACGCAGAGAGGGAGACGGACGGAGAGACACACAGACACCTCCTGCGGTGCTGCTGAGGGATACAATGTGGCTGCGAGAGGAGCTTTTGAAATCCATATGGCACGCATTCACAGCCCTGGACGTGGATCAGCGTGGAAAAGTCTCCAAGTCTCAGTTAAAGGTGCGTTTCGGTTCTTTTTTTTTCTTCCAGTTCAGAGCCTCCTCTGCAGGACACTAATACTTAAACTCTGCCGTTATTTTTACTCAGTAACGTAACCGCTGAATAAATGACATTTCCTGAATTCACTGGGGTTTTTTTTCTGACTTTATGTGTGATAAACGCGGCTGAGTTGGTTTTACATAGTTAAAACTTAGTGAAAGTAAATCCGTGTACTTTCACTCAATTTTATACATGTTTCCCTCAATCAAAAATTATGCTGAGTGCAGGGATTGTTACAAACTTCTCTTAGTTTGTTTCTTACTGTCAAAGAAAATTCAGTTTCAGGCTGCTCCACTGTAGAAAGAGGTGGTGTTTTACTGTATGACAGTCTGGGCCTAAGTTTGTTTGCCTGGTGGCTCTGCTGTCTGTGTGCCCAGCCTGACAAAGACACTGTCTGACTTCAAGGCTCCTGCAGGGCTTTTCATCTCTAACATATGGACACTGCAGCACAGCCAGGAAAACTGAAAAAGTCCCTATTTATGGAGATGTATTTATACACATTGCTTGTTGGACTAACACGAAGCCATAAAACCTTTTGTACCCTGGTGCATTAACGCAGTCGCACTAATCACCAGGGACAAGCTTTGTTCTGAGAAGTGAACATTCATCTTCAAGAACTGGAGTTAACGCTTGGTCAGCAGTGCTTGTAAATGTTAGAAGTGTTTTGCATGCATATCTGCAAACATGAGAACTGCGAGAGTGAACCCAAGCCTAACCTTTAATTTAACCTCGCGTGTGTTATTTTGAGGAAGTGTGATTTGACATATGTTGAGGTAATGTACTGTCCAAAAGCTGGCCTTCATCTTTGTATTTGTAGGAAAATAGGAAATAGGTGGAGCGATTTATTGAAATGTGTGCAATGATACGTGGAAATGCGGAATAGGAAGCAAAAACATTTTATAAAATTCATACAAACTTAAAAGTCAATATCCGTCTTGGACTTGAACTCTCTCACGCAGCTTTATTGCCATTTATTTTACGAAGTCTTCAGGAATAGCTCTCCAGGCTTCTTGAAGGACAATTAAAGCTCTTCGTTGTTTCTGTTCTCTGTCAGGATGATCCCACACTGCTTTAATAATGTTGAGGTTTAGGCTCTGGGGAGGCCAATCCATGACTCATAGTGTTTCATTGTGTCTATCCTATCCAAGCATAACCACCTTGGTATGCTTTTACTGCACTGGCATTGTGTTTGAAATTATTGTCATTCTTAACAATTAATCCAGTGCCAATCAGATGCTTTCCAGATGATATTGCATGTAACAGATTCAAATTTGATGGTGCTTTTTTTCTATATTGATAAATGCAGCTCACACAATGACAGAGCCTCCACCCTGTGTTACAGATGACTGTAGACACTCACTGTTGTACCTCTCTCCCCTTGCCTCCTCCATACATACCGATGATGGTTTGAAACATACATTTCAAATCTGGATTCATCGCTCAATAAGATCTGTTACCACAGATTTTTTTGTAGTTTCCCTTCATTAAGAACGGCTTCTTGATATCCACCCGTCCACTGAGACCATTTCTGATGAGGCTTCAGGAAACAGTACAAGAATCAACTAAAGGGTCTAGACTGGAGTTTTTCTTTTCTCTTAAGGACATGACTTTCAGATACTGATGTGCTGTAGATAGTTTTTGGGTCTGGCACTGACAGGTCACTATTAACAAAGTGCCTAAAGATATTATCTTAAAATTGGTTCTTTGCTAAGTTGTTTGTTAGGTGTAGACACAACAGTGGTTCACAGCACATTGAGTTTAGAGCCTTCTTTATGCTTGATTGAGTCATGTGTCACCAGTAAGTGGCTTAACAAACAACAACAAACAAAAATTTCTTCTTAAAATGGTCTCATACAAGGACTGAATGAAAAAGGAGTGAAAAAGGAGCCAATATCCAAAGACCTTCAGAAAACCTGGAGAACTTTTTTTTTCAAGACTGCCATAAAAATATCCAAGAAAGCCCAGCAGCATCTGTTCCTTTGTTTATTGTCCATTTGTTGTTGTGTTTTTCAGGTGCTGTCTCATAATCTGTGCACAGTTATGAAGATCCCACATGATCCTGTGGCCCTTGAAGAGCATTTCAAAGATAACGATGAAGGGCCTCTGTCCAACCAGGGCTACATGCCTTACCTCAACAGGTTTATTCTTGACAAGGTGGGAGCAAAGAGCCTTGGTTCAAATGTTGTTCTCAGTATGGCTACTTGAGACTTCTAAGAGATGTGAAAACTAGAAGTTGGTCAGTTAAACACTATGACATGTTAACACTCTGTCAGTGCTCGCTGAATAACAATGACTGCGAACACAAGCTGATCACGGGGTGGCGCTATAGCTCACCTGGCTTAACCAGGTGAGGCTTCTGCAGACTCCTGGGTTTAAGCCTGCCCCAGACCACTTTCCTGTGCATCATTTGCCCTCACTTTCTCTCCCTACTGTCTTCTCCAGTCAAGACAGTAATGCACCAAAATAAAAAATCTGGAATATGCAGTGTTCACTTTAACATGACAGGTTTCTGACTCACTCGCTGTAGCATCTTGTGCAAGAATGCTGAGACTTCTGAGACAAGACTCGGATGTCAAATGCGTCACCCTGTTTGATGATACAAATTCTTAGTATTCAGCAGTTTTTGACCTTGTTTACACTTTAAAATGTGTCTCACCAGCAAACATCTGCTCCACGTAGTCATTTACACCCGTGACTCCAAGCTGTCCAGCTGATAAGTTGTATTCACATTTTGTTACTGCTCACGTAACACCAGCTTGAAGGCCCTCCATGCAATGGGCTGGAATTTTAAATTAAAATCTTAATAAGCTGCTGTACATGTGCATACATCTCAAAGCATGACATGTCTAGAAAAAGGACATATGGTCCAATGTGTCACCCCAATATTGCTCATTGTTTTTGATGCTGTGCGCTTGTGAACTGCTTACCCGTCATGCATTTTAAAGCTAACTGCAAACAGGCCCTTTGATGCATCGTGTTGTCGACACTAAGAAGTGCCAAAGCTTTTATTTACACTGGATATCACACTTTGCCAGGAACAATCCTCAAAAGGCTTTGTAGGACGAAAATTAAAAACGCCCAAAAAAAAAAGTAGTCAGTTACACAATAAAAATAGTAAAAACCTGCCAACACACACTTCACACACGGTTTTGTGGCACTGAAAACGATGACTAATCATGGTCTGTTTTGCTCAGTGCACACAGAGTAGCAATGTGTTTTGTTTTGTTTTTAATCAATGCAATAATGGTTTAATGAATGTTAATGAAATCTGTGAATAAAATGAGTTTCATCCTCACGTACTCTTGGCACAAGTGGAACCTTGTGTCTTCGCTCTGCAGCTTAGCAAGCGGCAAACGCACGACAAACGTGCATTTTATAAAAGTTTGATAAAACCGAGCCAGGAAACTGCTCCGGTTTCTCTGTGTTTTCTCGCTTTTCTCTCGTAGGCTCTGACTTGAATAAAAATGAGGCATTTAATTACATCACGTTTGCACCTCACATCCTGCAGACTCGAGGTTTTGAAAGCTCTAAGCAGTCTCCTGCTTAGCATTTGTAAACACGAAACCCTTGATCCTTTGTGCTTCCGACTTTGAATTTGACTGAATTCTGCGTTTTTAATCTCAGGTGTGTGGGGATTTCGACATAATGGAGTTCAACAGGATGTGCTGGACACTTTGTTACAAGAAAAATATACACACAAAACATTTGCTCATCTCAGATAATGACGCTTTCAAAGTGTGGTGCATTTTCAACTTTCTGTCAGAGGACAGATACCCGCTAGTCATCGTCATGGAAGAGGTGAGGATCCCGTAGTCTGACATGTTTAACCATTCCCTCTACCAAAGCTCTGAGTTTCAAGTAAAGCTTCTACATATCTCCTTAGATCGAGTACTTCCTGCGAAAGCTCACGGAAGCCACGGGGACTGTTTGGAGTAAAGAGAGCTTTGCAGAATATAAGCAGCGTCAGAACTCGAAGAACTTCCTGACTGCCTGGGAGCTGATTGAACTGGTGGGAATGGGTTACTTCAGCAAAGGTTTAAACCGCCAGATCCTGTCCATGGGCATCAATGAGGTCTTCAATGAGCTCATACTGGACGTTCTCAAGGAGGTCAGAGAGGATGTTGATCTGTTATTCTGTGTATTTCTCATATTTGCAGCTTCAGATTTCCCATCTAAAATCTCTCTGAACCGTGAGCTTTTACGGTTTGGCTGCCACTGAGATAAAAATGGCAGCTTCCTCAATGCAAATTCCCTCCTCTCACTGCATTATTCTTTAGGTGGCTTTGCAAACTCTGGCTACACTAACCCTCCCAGACTTTTTAACCTTTCCAGTGTAGCTACTGTATTCATATGTTCTTTCCTACACTGTGTTTTGAAGGGATACATGATGAAAAAAGGGCACGTCAGGAAGAACTGGACCGAGCGCTGGTTTGTCCTCCGACCCACGTCACTGTCGTACTATGTGTGTGAGGATCTCGAGGAGAAGAAAGGAGACATAATTCTGGACCAAAGCTGCTGCGTGGAGGTAAACAGCTGAGCTGCATGTCCTACATGTTCCTTAAACGAAAGACTTTAAAATGATGAGCATCCGCTATAGATGAAATTTCATAGCAGCGACTAATATTTCTTTCTCCTGCAGTCGCTGGCAGATAAAGAAGGGAAGAAATGCCTTTTTATTATAAAGTGTGCTGACAAAAGCTTTGAGATCAGCGCGTCAGATAAAAAGAAGAAGCAGGAATGGATTCAAGGTACTGACTCATCATTTTCCGGCCCTCTGTAACTTCCTCATCATAAAAAGGTCTCATCATCACTGTCTCTTCATTTTCTTTAATGTTGCCTCTGAATTTTTGAATGTCAGTGTCTGACTCAACGTTAAATCCATAATGACTAAATGTCGTGGGAATAATTCAGCCGGTGACTCTGTCTTGTGGCAGCTATTCAAACGTGCATCCAGCAGCTGAGGCTGGGGCTGCTGTCTCCTCACCGCGAGGCCCGGCTCAGGCGCTGGGAGCTCCGGCAGAGGCAGCAGGTGGAGGAAGACGACCTGGCAGAGAGGATGAGGCAACTCCAGGCGGCCAATGAGAGCAAACAGAGAGAGCTGGAAGCCATGAGAATTGTCTGTGCTTAAGTCAACTAAAAACTCTTAAAGCCCTGTCATGCGGGAGGAAGAATTATGACTGCCTTGGTTACAGTAACATTTGCTCTTCAAGCCTAGAAGATTTAAACCTTTATAAACCTAAGAATATATATATTTCAGATAACTCATACCTGTTTCATGCTACATAGATTCTTTTTTGGAGGGTTGTTTCTGGGGTCCTGAAACTAATCCAGGAGAGAATGAAATGTGTTGAAGCACTGCTACAGTGTAACTTAAGTTCCAGAGAAAATCATGGTGCTGTCCACTTCCTATTTATTTCCATGTATTCTGTTGTTTTTTTTTTTAAGAACACAGAGTTTAATGTAACACTCACAGTGAAAAAGGGAAACAAAACTGCTATGCAAACTACTGTTTGTGAACATGTCAGTCATGGACACCTGCATCCAGCAGCAGGCCTGGGCGTATGATTCTTTTAGAACTTTAGAAAAGTTATACTTTCTCACTTCTGCTTTTACTCTGCCAGATGGCTCTTTTTTTATTGTTTTGCTAAACACACCCTGGTGTTACTTAACAAAATATACCTATCGCTAATTGCACTAGAAATAGATGCTAGCATTACTTGTGTGAAGTTCAGCTTTAAGTAAAACCAGTCAAAAACTTCCCTGCAGGCTAATGTGGCTTCCAGTCGAGCAACTCTTTCCTCTTTTTTGGGGGTTTTGCAGAAAATGGAAGAGGCTGCGGCTAAAGCGGCGCTGGAGGAGCAGAGGAGGAAGCAGACTCAGTTAGATCTGCAGGATCGCTACAGACTGGACTTGGAGAGAGAGAAGATGGTAACTTGTGTGCCTCTCACGACACCTGATTGCGTGGTGACACAGTTTTATGTATTTTTTTTCTAAGTAAAAAAAAAGAAAGAAAAAGAAATGTGTCCGGTAAACGGTGACTTTCTGTCTCTTCGTTTTGAGTGTCTGATTAAGCCGTCTGTATTTTAAGGGAAACAAAGGCTAAAAAAGCTCAAATTATCCATCGCAGGATGCTGACTCATCTTTGGTCTGAGTGTCAGATGAGCCAACAAGTTAATCATCCCCCCAAGTTGAAAAACAAGACAGACAAATGCCTTTGTAGAGCAATAAAGACTATTTGTTTTGCAGTAGAGCATACTAACAGTTGATGTGTAGATAACTGCTCTGAGTGAAAGAGCCCATTGATTAAAAATGTGGATGACTGTGCGTGTGTTTGTGTCTTGACTCATTCAGGTGCGTCAGCAGATGGAGGAGCAGGTGGCCCAGAAGTCCAGTGAACTGGAGCAGTACCTGCAGCGCGTCAGAGAGCTGGAGGACATGTACCACCGGCTGGAGGAGGCCTTAGAGGATGAGAGGCAGGCCAAGCACGATGAGGAGGCTATGCGGAAGCTGCAGGCCAGGTCTCGAAAACACGCCCGCACACACACGTGCTACACAGCATGTCGATACATACAGGAAGTAAATCTGGTGATGTCAGCTCCCTGTTTGAGCCAATGTGAACCCGATTAACTGACCTGAAGTCTTACCAAGGCTCCTACTAGTTTTTAACTCAGTCACTTTGTGGTTATGTGGTCTATTTATTTGATTTTCCATCCATCCGTCTGTTAAAAGTGAAAACAATATCTTAGGAATGCTTGGTGTGTGTTCATGTGTAGCCTGCTGGAAGAGGAGGCAGCCAAGAGGGCAGAACTGGAGCGGATCCAACAGCAGCAGCAGAGGGCGCTGTCTCAGACCGAGGCAGAGAAGCAGGAGCTAATGGCCGAGCAGCTGGCCAAGGAGAGAGACCTGCAAGCAGCCGTGCAGCAGCTGGAGAGGCTGCAGAGGGAGCGGCAGGGAGCAGTGAAGCAATATGAGGTCAGCTTTCAGAAGACAGAGGCCATGTGTCTCAAAAACTATGTATATCCTTACTGTCTGATCAAGCTTCTTTAAAATAAGATTAAAAAACATAATGCCCTACTTACATTATATGTTCATGCATGACTTTGACCCCTAGTAAAGGCGAAATGGAAAAGCTTGTGATAAGATTATCTTCTTCTTCCTCCTCTTCTTCTTGCTGGTCCCCCTTGGGGTCTCCGCAGAGGATCACCTGCCTCCATCTGATCACTCTTTTTCTCTTCTGTCACATCAACCCTCCTTCCTCTGCACATGCACGTCTCGAACTCTGTCTCCTAACAAAAAAACAGATTCACTTGAAGATCTTTTTTATGAGAACAGAAACAGTTAATCATATAAAACACCTCTGTTTTCCTACCTGACATACAGGAAGTGACGAGGAAACTTGAGCGAGCAGCTAACAAGACTAAGACTTGGAAAGACAAGGTGGCGAAGCATGAGGGGCTGGTGCGTTTTATCCAGCCAGGTAGGAGGGTTCTTCGTTTATAAATTTCCATTTCCAGTCCAACCTGATGAATGATTGGCGAGCTCTCACATTGTAGAGAAGTATGGAAAAATCTGGGGACTCTTCTCTGTGTTTTGCAGCAGGACAAGACATTAAGAATGCGTCGTGTTATGAGAATGGTTCTCTGAACTGTTAATTTAGTCCGAGCCAGAGGTCTGAGTCGTTGTCAGTTTTACGGCACTGTTGGTAATAAAAAAATTACCCGCGGCAAGCCAGACCACACCGAAGTAAGGCCGCTTAGCCAAGGAGCCCTCGATTTATGACAGAAGCATTTATTTGTAGTGTCAGTGGACTGAATGTCGAAACACTAAAAAAATGTTGTTGAAATAATCTCAGGTTGCTCTTTGTCAGTTTTGTAAATGGATGGTTCATTAATATTTTCTGAAAGCCCGTTATCAGAAAGAGGAATCATTCAGTGGTTATGCAACAGACTAGCAGAGCCAAGCTCACACTAAGCTGTATAAAATGAGTTTGACGCCCCTGGCACAAATGTTTTCTCTTACTCTGCAGAAAAAAAAGAGGAACACCAGCGATCGGTTTGTCAGTACATCTCGCTGTAATTTTTTCATCTCTTTTCTTTTGACCCTCTCTTTTAGGTCACAAAGAACCGCAGAAGATCACTAACTGGGGTCCTGCATCGTTCACTGACACTGAGCTGGATCTGAAGAAGAAGTTGTGGCAGGAGCGTAAGAACCAGGGAGCTCAGACTCAGTGATTTATACATGGATAATTCAGTGTTTGTGTTCGAAGTCACCCGACTGTTCACTGCTTTGCTAGTTTCTGTATAAGAAACACTATCAGTGATAGCCTTTTTTTGGAGGCCAGGTAATCATATACCTAAAAAACAATAAAAATAATAAAATGCTCACAAATTGACACAAATGTTGACGGTAATGGCCCATTTCACAGATAAATCCAGATTAATTTGACTGTATCCAGTACCATTAACTGCAAATGATGACATTTTAAATATATTCTACAACACTGAAAATAGGTGCACACTCTTTAATTTGTTTATTCTGCAAATTACTGGCATCCTGTAGAGCAGGAGTTTCAAACATAAGGCCCCAGAGACAAAGACTCCAATTCAGATCGCTGGACAACTTTGGAAAGAGTGCATAGATTTGGACCTTTTAACTGTGTTTTCATAAGTTTTAAAGCTCAAGATCAAAGTGGACTATATGTGTCACAGTGAGCATTATTGTACTATATAGTTCATGTAATAGTAAAGAGTTGAAGAAAGAACCCTGCTTTTAAATACAAAACTTTTACTTATCTGCACATAATAAAATAAAATGTAATCTTTGCCAGGTCACAAAATTAGATAAATACAGCCTGAGATGAACAACAGCACACAAAGATTAGATCTTGTCGTTATTTATTTAGCAGAAACGAGTCCAAAATGCACTTAGAGGGGTTCATGGTCGGCTCAATAACTGCAAGATGTGCAGGTCCCTTGGTTGCAGTGCAAGCCTGAAAGCCTCCGCTTTTATAGAGGTGCTCACACTTGCTGGCAATCAGTTAATCAAGTGCATTTTACTTTCAGCATCTGGCTGCTGCTGGTTCCTATGAAAGCAGTAAAGGTCTAGTTCGTTTTTCACACACTGCTTCTGCATTTTGGCTTAATTTTGTTAAATGAATAATGACACGATGTAACAGACCACGTGCCGTTGTGCATCTGAGGTTGTATTTGCCTCATTTTAAGACCTAAGGAATATTATTTTTAGTATGTCCCGATATGTAAAAGGGTGTTTTTTCTTTTTTTCCCATATGTATCATCTTAATTTTAAGTCCTCTGTGTCAGCTCCTGTCATGGAAATGTATGCGTCCTCATTTTATTGTCCAGTGATTGTGGGTTTGCTTTTAGGATGCAAACAAGTTACTCTTCTGCTCTACTTTTTATCCCAGTGTCTACAATTAAAGACTAAATAAACACACTCGAACATGGCAGACAGAAAAAGTAGGTAAAGTAGTGAACAGGCAGTGAGTTTTTTCACAGCCTCTGACTGTAATGAAATGTAACAAGTCTAAAGGCTTGATAACATGAACTCACCAAACCACGTGAAAAATGTAAAAAAAAATGGTTTACTTCTCTGGTTCACTTGTAGATGTAGAGCTTCGAGTAATTTTCTTCTGTAACAAAAAATCAAATCCAAGCCTCAGAAGTTTATTTGTTACCTTGGAAAAAGGTAATAATAACAAGCATCTCCTGATGGTGATTAAAAGAGGTGATGAGCTGAGATAATTTGATCACAGGTTAACATCCACCTTTTTTTTTTATTCATTTGAGTTTCCCGTTTTAGATTTTATTTAGATTTTATTCTCATCTCATGTGCTGTATTTCATGTTAGTACTTTGCTTTTTTTTTAAAAAAAATATTTTGACTTGTTAGAAGACTTATTGTAACATAAAAGGAAAAGGAGGAGGATATGTGGGCAGAAACGTTTGCTATACTGTCCCAGGTCATCAACTCTAGATGAGTTAATTGTGTCTGTTATAACCAACAAATTAAAGCATTTTTTCACGACGGTGGACGTGGCTGCTCTCATTTCACAGTTTGAGAAGAGGCTTTCTACAAATAAATGTAGAAAAGTAACTAAAGAACCCAACAAGCTTTCCATTTTCTACTTGATTGCAGTCATACTGAACGACATCCAGCAGGTGTCAGCAGATGAACACGATCCTCAGTCATAAGCTGAGGAGGGACGGGAGCTTTAAACCGGGACTTAAGCGGAGCCGTGCTCCTTGCACTCCTCATGGTTGTCGCTTGTAAGGAATAAGCCTGCTGTCATTGTAAAAATGTTATTCTGGCTGTTAGAGAAACAGCAAAACTACTCAGGGGGAGATATTTAGTTGTTGAGACTACTTAGAGAAAAATTAAAACTAATTTCCTGTGACACCCCCCCCCCGATGTAAAGGAAATCACGGGCATTTCAGCTTTGGTTTTGTATTCAGTTAGTCTGGGCTTGTATATCGGACATATGCCATATTATATCATGTATTTGTATTAGGTATTGCCATAGTGATTCTTCTTCAGGGTGGGATTGGGAAGCTTTACTGGTGAGTGAGCCCGGAGCATTGACAGTTCTTCCACGAATGTTGAGCAGCCTGGTGAACACATCACCTGGGCATGCCTTCACAGCTTTCAGCATGAAAACAATATTAGGGCGTGGAAAGTAAAAGTGAAATAATACGGCCCAAAACCGTTTGTAGTTTCAGGCATCCCTGATTCAAAATAGATAAAGTTGCTGAACTACTTGAGTCACCACCCAAATATGAATTTAATTGGACTCTGAGCAAACTACTGCCAAAGGTAGCAAAGACATTAGTTTAATTACATGTCGTTCTCACCCAGCTGCGATTCTTTAAGACCGCATGGAGCCAGTGCCTGACTACACAAACAAACAGTACACAATAACAGAACCCATTTATTGTTGTTGTCATTTATTTTTATCCCTACCCTTGTCTTTTCAGTTAGGTAGCTTCATTCAACGCAGATTGGATGCACTGATCTGATTTGCGGCAGATTGAATGTCACGGAGCGGGCCGACTATCAGCCGCAGCATCACTCCAGAAACTTCCACTTCGGCTGGTGCAGACGCTGAGATGAATATCAGAGAGAATGCTTTGGATCAGCGCTCGGCCTGGTTACCTGTCTGATCGTGTAACAGGTCTTGTAGGTGCTTTACAACATGACTTCATTGTTCCAGTAACCACTAAAGAAGACGAATCACTTGATGCACGTGACATGCAGCGGTGAGGTCTGCATCTCGGTGCATCAGTTTGTGCAACAAAGAACCACTGTTCTTACACGTACTGCTCACCTTTGTCTTCTTCATCCTCATGTTTCAGTGAAAACAGAGACAGCATTGCAGGAACATTGTTTCGGCATCAAACTGTCATTTCGGGCACTTGTTTGTCTCTCGTCTTGCCAGCCAGGCAGCTCGCCTGCACAATGCACGTTTATAGTTTCCAGTAAAAAAGCAACTCGCCTTCATTTGTCCTTCTGAAAGGAAACGGGGAGTTCATTTTGAGTTCAGGAGATGAGATAACGACCTGCACACTGGTCTAACAGTCAGCACCGTGCACATATCTCTATACTGGCAGGTCACTGATAAGATCAGGTGTAGAAACAGATCAGTCAAGGCTCTGAGCTAATAATGTAAGCGGGATTGTAGAAAAAAAAACTAAACACAACACAGACTCTGCTTTTATGGGTGTCTTGCATGATGATATACGATTAACAGGGTTTGCTGTGTGATAAACAGATTTGGTGTCCACATTTGTTTTTTAAGAGGTATTTATATCTCAGAATCTGAGAAAAATGTGCTGCTTTTTATTGCAAATACTATTCTCAGAATTGTGAGTTTCTCATCTCCGTAGCTAAATTTCACAAGCCCTCTGCATTCCAAGTAAAGGCTATCTCTAGCTGTCTCACCCTCAAGCTCATGTGTTCGAATAGCACCCTAATGCCCATAACCAATCCATCTGATTCCTCTCCAAAACGTCCTCATAGAGACTGATTTGAAACTGGAACATTTTATGGGATTGTCTGCTGGTGAAAAAATGTCTGGCAGATGCCTGTTTTCTGGGTTAGATGGCTTCCCACAGTGACCTCAGTCCTGAGCGTTTCTATAGCTGAATGGGCTCAGGGTTCAGCTGCAGAGAGAAACTGTGGGTCACTTACACAGGCAAGTGAAAAACATCAGGGCCTCAGATAAATCACTCAAAATGGGCCAAAGAAACAGTCACGAAAGCAAACACCAGCCCTTAACGATACAAATCAAATGTTTATTGTGCTTTTCTATTCATGGATGAGTGGGCGGTGTCTGGATAAGATCATCTGGAGCTCGGTTGATTCATGCATTGGATAATCTAGACCCCCATGTGCTACCCGCAGTTGACATCACCCTGATTTCCAAGGGTGGGACTCGATGATGTGTGTCAAGCTAAGTGAGATCAGCGTTTGGAAGTGTTCTGCTGAATTTTGGAGCAGGTGCCCGCAGAGAGGCCCGCAAGTTTGTGAAGCGGGAAGGACCCCCAGCAGCGGCGAATGAACTCTCAAGTTGCCTACATGACATGACATTCATGTAAAAATTGCTACATAGCAGGCATTCATTGCAGCCACAGGGCTACATGGATATTAGCCTTGGAGGAGCAATAAAATAAATCAGGATCATCTGTCACTGGGGTATTTTGGGGGCCTGCGGAAAGGCCAATCAGCTTATTTCTGGAGATGTTTTATTGGACAAGAAGCATTTACTGCAGCTGTGACTAAACACGAAGAGCGCGATCCAAAACCAACAGATACGTGCAATGTTTAATTTATAGACCACTTTTGATGTGGAAGCAGCACGCTTCCAGCCAACCAAGACTAATCACAGTGAACTCAAGACACATGCAGCCAAGTTACACAATATCACTGTTACACAGCAATGCATTTAAAACACTGCTGCTTGTAGGGGTAATAGAGGCTTTCATCAGTAATTTGTCTCAAACGTTGAGAAAGAAATCACTTGCACAGGCAGTAATGTACACCACCTCATGCTATCGTTATATAACAGCTTGGAGTTTTCGTCCTAAAATACTTATTCAACTGATGTGCATGAATTTGGTGCAATCCGGTCTTAAGGAAGTAAAACCCCCATTTTTATCTCTGGAGAAGATGATTCCTATCATGCCATTCCACACAATCTTGCTGGATAACTTCCGCTGCATCCCAGTATTAGCGGGCCAAGGTCCTAATCCCCTTACCCAAAGCAAAATGCTAAATATGATGTGTCATAGACTCTGTCCAGATGTTGGCCTGCTGCAGCTCTGCACCTGCTGCCAGTACAAGCCAGCTGGGAGATTGCATTGCTTGACAAATACTCACCACTTCCCTCCAAAAAAAGTGCCTCACCGCTCTTCTTTTGACCTCAGCTTCCTTTCTGAATCAAACCTTTGAGGGACCACAGGAGTCCTGTTCTGCACCGCCAACCAGGCGCCACAGCGCCTGAGCTGGGGCTCCTGCCCAGTCCCATATTCATTGTTGGCAAGTGAGACATAGATCATCATCATCCTCTCCAAGCCCTGTTGCTGGCTCAGATCAGAAAACATCAGTTGAAGGGGTGTCTGATTACTGCTGATTGATAGGACATCCTTTATTGAAGATGAGGTGCTCACACGAGGACAGAAATTACAAATAGTTCTTCCTGTATCCTGTGACTCTATCCTATGTGTGACACGACAACAAATGATGAGCAGCTTTGTTTTGTTTTGTTTTTTACCTTGAACTCACTGCTAAGGTCAGCATTCAGTACTCACTGTACTTCTGGAAAACCTGTTTACAAACCTATGAAATTCATCATGTGATTGTGGTGTGTTAGCACTCACCTTATTGACAGAGCTGACGCTCTGACATCACAGATAATAAGTCATAAAACCAGAGTAAAGAAAAAGTTAAAATGCCGAGTGCTAAATGAAAAGCCAGAAGATGACCAAATCTATTTTTGTTTATCCTGACGGGAACATACTGTGAGTGCTAGGACTCGATTGCCATGTGTTAACAGTTACATGGAAAGTTTTCACAGGACTCTATTAAATGATGTGAAAAACTAAGTGTGCTCCATGTTTCAGTTGATTTTAGAAGAGCTTTTAGTGGGAATAACTCAAAGTAATCCTTTTCTGCACGAGTCTCTGACACCCCACTCTTCCTTAATGTTGCTTTAGTTCATTGAGGCTTGATTTGTTGATGCACAGCTCTTTTAAGGTCCCTCCACAGCATTTCAGTCATGTTGAGGCCTCGACTTTGATTGGACCATTGCAGCACCTTGGTTCTTTTCTTTTTCAGCAATTCTGTTGTAGATTTGCTGCTATTGGATAACTCAGTTCAGACCAGCTGTAGCAGTCAGACAGATTGCCTCACATTTGACTCCCGGATGCTTTAAATAAAGAGTAGTTCGTAGTCGACTCAATGCCGGCAAGGTGCCGAAGTCCTGTGGCTGTAAAACAAGCCCCAAATCCTCCACTCTCCATTATCATGCTTGTAGATTTGTATTAGGTGTTTGTACTGCTGTATTTGGTTCTCTGTGCAATACACTGTGCATGACGGCCAGACGTCTCCATTTTGGTCTCGTCTATCCAAAGGACATTGTCCCAGAGCACTTGTGGTTTGCTGAGATGCAACTTTTCAAACCTAAATTGTGCTCCCATGTTCTTTTCGGAGAGGGGATGTTTTCTCTCAGGAATCCTGTGAGGGGAAATTTTGACCTTTCTTTTTTTCAGCTGTAATCCAGATAAATATGAGCTTCAGCTAACAGAGAAATCATCACTAGCTAGCAGATGGCAGACAATCCAGTCTTACACTGCTGGCTGCTTAGCTTCTACATATAAACCCAAAAATATTCCTTTGGTAAACATCGTCTGAGAATACAAAACAGTTACACAATAAAGTAAACTCTGAGTCATTGTTTTTCCGGACACTTATGACAGATGGATGGTGTAAATGTGAGGAGACATAAAAAAAATGGCAGGCGATTTATATCTGACCT